CTGCATGTAGAGAAGAGCTGCGTAGCACAGGGGGATATGTGATGGCATTCCAGTGGCTGTGTGCTCCTCTCCAAGCACAGTGCCCAAAATGAAGTTTTTCTTTGGTTTTACCTAGCAGCAAGATTCTTCTGATTTTTTTTTTTTTTCTTTAAATAAAGGATTAATGCTTTTCTGAGACAAAACCCTCAGGAATTACATCAGCCATATGAAATATAAATACATTTTCTCTCCCATTGCATGAATGATGGATTAGTTTTTCGCTGAAGAAACCAAGAGTAGGATGTAAGGACAATGTAGACTGTGGTGTACAGCAGCACACTGTTATGAAACATGATGCTATAGGAAATATGATTAATGTGTGATGGAAACCCCTTGGTAGATCAGTTCACTAAAGTACATGTCCTGTCATGAGAACACCATCGTTTGTATTATGTGCAGTGAGTTTCTGGACAGAAACTACTACCTGTTGGAGTATTATTTTATCCAGTAATCTGTGAGATTTTATTAAAGTATAAATAATACAAGACCTTTTTTGTTGTTTACAGAAGAAAAACATCTGTCATTTTTTTTAGGATTAAAAGCAAGAATTTGTGAGTGTAGAAGTGTGGTACCACCCTTTTCTGAAGTAAGGCATGACTCTGATTTAGGGAGAAGAATATATAGAGCTGAATGTGAACCTCTTGCCGTCATACCGATTAGCAGCAGATGAGAAGTATGCTGCAGCAGCAATTGTCTCTGTAATAGCTGCAGGATGCACGGAAAATGACAGTTTGCTTTATGAAGTGAACCAAGTAAAACTATCTGCTTGGCATGTGCTTCACTGGACTGGTATTTTGTCACAGTTATGGGACACCACTTTTGTAGAGCAAATGAATATAGTTCTTAAACTGAAAAAGGGAGAAGAACTTCCAAATCCCTCAGTACAAGTTTCCAGACCCCTGATTCTGAATTGCATTAAAACCCTGCAGGAATTACACTCTGGCAACTATTCAAGTGCCTGTTGATACATAAACAGGCTCACTTATGAAAACAGAGTAGCTTGGATCTTGGTCCCATTTTGGTTGGTGATGAGCTAATTTTATTTTAAAACACAAGGTTTGGTGCCTGAAGGGACAGAGTGAACTCAGTGGAGCTGAAATTTCCTGAATTGTAATAATCAGTAATTTTAGGCCTGACTCGGCGTTAGGGAATGATACTGAGTTGACTTTATTCCACTTGCCTGAGACAGACTCTTTTATTATATTAGTGCAGGGAAAACTTAAGAAGTTGGAGGACTTTGTGACCTGTAGTTGATGATGATTCCTGTAAATTTGTCTTTTATATTTAGTTTTTCAAGTTTATTAGTCATGATTTGGGGAAAATATGAACTTTTAACATTTTTAATCTGAGTGAAATCTAGCACAATTACTATCTGGTAACAGATATCAGGGCAAAATATCTAGAAGTAAAATATATTCCTGATGTGATTTACTTTTTCTTTAATGCAGTTGAGTGAGGGGCAGCTTTGTCTCCTGTGTACTGAAATGAAAAAGTAGTTTTGACACAGCTTTGGTGTAGCTTACCTAAATGAGAGCAGAACCAAAAATTAAGATAATAGATTTGACAAGGAATATCTATATTTATGTTAAAACAACATGATCAAAATAATTTAATAAAATTTCTGAAAAATAGGTGAGCTATTCATTCTGCTAAATAGGTGACCTATTCATTAAGTGTGCTTTGCATTGTGGAAGCTTACAGTCATTGTGCATAAATATTATGCTATTTTAAAAAGAAAACTGACATTACAAGTTCTCAATAGAACTGATAAAATTTGTCTATCAGCTTTTCACATGAAAATTGGATTTTCATGGAATGATTTTTGTGTCTATGAAGAGTATCTCTCTTAATATTTAATTCAGTCACTGAGAAACAAGTTTCTTAATTACTTACTAAAATATTTTTCTCTTTATTTACAAGTCATTTTTTCCTAAAAAAAAAAAAAAAGTAACTTAAAAAAGGCTTTTGTTTAATTTCTCCATGGAAAATAAGCCTTTTTCTGACAAAAGGCTTTTTTTTAAAAAAAAAAAATTATTATTATTTTTTTTTTAAGACCAAGTAAGTCTTTTCCTTCAAAGTTCATTATGCTGAAAAGTGAAACAATGTAAAAAAATGCAGTGGTGTTACTACAACTGCCCCACCGCTCCCTCAAAACATTGAATGATCCTTTGGAAGATAAAAACTTCTGAATTAAAACTGAGGACTGATGCTCATGAAACTTGTCTGTAGGGTCCTGACCGGGTGACCTTGCTCAAATCATTAAAATACCAGTCCTGGGAGATGGATCCAAGGGCAATTTGCAGATGGTAGGGATCTTTCTACTCCAGTTTCACTATTTGAAGTGGACCAGCAGCAATCGAGCTATCATAGTCATACCAGGATGCTCTTTTGCACAAGCAAGTGCAGACAAAATGATTTCCACTTTTGAATGGACAGAGCCACGAACTGTGAATTGTTTCCCTAAGCTTTGTTTGCAACACTGAAAGAACCAAAGCCTTTAATAGTGAAGATTCTAAGCAGTCCCATTTATTCTAAAAATCCCCGTTTTGCTCATCCAAGTGGCTTTTTTCAGTTTCATTTTGAAATATAGCACATCTGAAGGAAAATTGTATCTTGTTTACAAGTACTGCAGCCTACCAACTACAAGTTCAGTAATAGACATTTTTAGGTAGCACAGGCTAAGGCATATCTGACACCAATTAGTATTAACTACATGTAGTAGATGGAAAAAGCTGTCATTTATTTAAATAATAAAAAAATATATTTCTCGAATGGGAGAAATTTTCTTCACACAGTATATATACAATATTAAAAAAATGGTCAATTGTGCAGCAGTTTAATTTTGCCTCAGAGGATTATATGAGCTACTCTTTCACTTGATTTTTCACAATATTTGCTGTGTCATATGGTTAACCTAGTAGGACCTGTTAGCAAACTGTCCTTTTAAAATGTATAATGTAATATATGTATAACTTCTTAAACATCTCAAGTTGTTTGTAATTTAGGCTTTGGAAACATCTCCCCACGCACACAAGGTGGAAAGATATTCTGTATCATCTATGCCTTATTGGGAATTCCTCTGTTTGGTTTTCTGTTGGCTGGTGTTGGAGATCAACTAGGGACAATCTTTGGAAAAGGAATTGCCAAAGTAGAAGATACATTTGTTGTGAGTATGCCAACTGCCTCGTTTGTTTGTCATGTTGCTTGTTCTGAAGTTAACAGATGAAATGAAAAGTCTGAAAAACAGGGTGTATATATAGCTCGTCATTGTAAACAGATATCTAGCAAACAATAGGAAGAACTTTGCAAAGTCTGAACAAGTTACTGAACACTGTTAATTGAGAATTGGATGAAGCCCAACATTTCCCAACCATAATTATTGTAGAAAAAGGAACAAGATCCCAAACATTTTATATCTGCTTTGCCCTTATACTCCTAAGCTTGCTGTGAGGTTTATCTTTAAAGGTTGTCATACAGATTGTGGTAGAAAGTCACTGACTCAGAGAGATGGACGAGTGGAGCTGTAGGGGCAATGTGGAAATTATTGCTCCTGCTTTGAGTTGATTCACAGAAGACCTTTGGTGTCTGAGCCTAAAATCACAAGTCTTAAAATCTCTACTCAGGTGCTGTCATACCAGAGGAAATGCCTACAGTCTGTAGGCATCTACATTTCCAGATTTATGCATCTGTAGGTGACAAGCTTTGGGCGTGTAGGACAGCCTAAATGGTACAGAGCCTGTCAGTCCTTTCCTGATGTTGGACTCCTCTTTGTGGTCTTCTCACCTGCTTAACTTCTTAGCACAGCCTAGAGGTTCATGCCTTTCATTTTCTTTGGCTACTAATCTTTAATTACTCATGTAAAATGGCATAGCTTCAGTAGAGGAAGAGACCTATCAAATAGACTAGAAGCTTGTGCAGATATTGATAAAGTTCAGCCATAGCCAGTCCTTAACCAAGTGCTTTAAATTCTAGCCGAGGAACTTAATTTGCTTAACTTAGTCTCTGTTTCACACAGAGAAAAGTTTATTAAGGTTGTATTTTACTAATGCAGTTATTAAAAATGTATTCAGAGATTTTTGAAGCAGAGAATAAACTTAATGAAACTTAATAAAATTATTTAGTGTTTCACTAATGTTTAATAAAAAGTTGTAGATTTAACTATTACCTAATGTTCAAAATGTACAAAATACTATTTGTCTTCTGATAATGTAGAATAAGTCATATTCAGTAAACACTTAGTAAGCAGCCTGACTTTGTAGCTGTTTGCATCAGCACTGCAAGTGTTAGAAGGGTTGTTTTTCTGCAACAAGCCCTAATCTTGCATGCGGGACATTTTTTTTCTATGTAGGAAGGGTCTGCCATAGCTTTATTTATGAAGCAAAGCAAACCGGGGCTGTGCTGAGTAGTCTTATGCAATAGGTAAATACAAGCATAAAAGTATTTTAAGAAAAGGCAGATATTTTTGACTTTGAAACACCAGTTCAAGTCTGGACAAGTTACTGGTGAATAACATCCATATCCATTGAGACTGGCCTAAAAAAGGCAAGAACATTTCCTAAGAACATCTTATTTTTATCCTTTCTGATTTTTTTATCATTGGATTTTACTCTTAAGCAAAAAGTACAAAAGATGTGAGACCAATTTCTGTGTCTCAGCCTGTTGCTTATAGGGATAATGGTTTTCCTTTTTTTGTAATGGATTTATCCCTACAACAAGAATGCCCCAAAATAAAAAGCAGCATCTTGCCCTGTTTTGTCAGTCTCTGAATGGAAACACTGATCCATCACAGATCTGTCACAGTCTGGAACACTCCCTTGTCCTGTTTCCCAGTTCTCCAAAAGAATAACTGGGAAGAGCTGATGGGTCAGAGCAGGGAATTTCATGTTGCCATAACCCAAACTACTACTGTGATTTGGGTTACGAAAGCTGGACTTTGGTCATGCTGACTGTATAACATAGTTTCCATTGGCACTAAACTTAAATTCAAGAAAACATGTATTCTGAACAGTCTGATTTCATTTTTGTTCTCCTTTTGTGAAAATTTTCAGTTTTGTGCGATCCCTTGCTTACTTTTTAAGTTGAAACAATGTCCTTTGGATGGATGCAAAACTGTACTGACAGGAAAATTGTCACAATGGCAGTTGTGTCAATTGTAACTTTGCAGTGGTCTGTTCTAGCTTTGGTACTGTTAAATTTCATTAATAGTTTACACAATAGAAAAAGGACTTTATTCATTAAATTTACAGGCTATCTCAAGGTGGGGCAAACTAAAAGCTGGAGGACAGAATTGGAATTCAAAATGATCTTGAAAAATTTGAGTAGTATTCTGAATATGTAAGATTCAATTGAAGAAGGACAAATTCAAAATACTCCTTGAAGGAATAATAAAATATGCAGTTACCTGTCAGGGAACAATTGTCTAGGTGAGGTGCAATTTTGTAGAAATATTCTGGAGACGCTAGGGGCTCATAGGATAACATGGGTTAATGTCATACTGTGAAGAAAAGCATACATCATGGTTAAAAGTATAAATAAGAGTGTAAATAAATAAATATATGAAGATAAGAAATGATCCTTCCATTCTATTTATAAGAAATGATCCTTCCATTCTATTTTGTGATTTTTTTTTTTTTTAAATATCTATTTTTGATTACAACATCTAACAAAATGGGGATTAGTTGGTTAGAGCCAAGGAATAGCAATGAGAGTGGACAAGTGAAGAAAGACTGAAATAAATTAATTTATTTAGTATAGAGAATATATGACCAAAAGAAAACACCTGTAAAAAATTTTCTGGAAAAAGCAAGTAGCAATTTCTTTGTTTGCCTTATATGAGACCATAAATAGTAGACTTAAATTGAAGGAGATGAGATGCAAATTAAGCATTAGGAAAACTTTCTGATGACAAAAACAGTTAAACATGATCCCATATTGCCTGACCAATAATGTATCTGCAGTGGCTTAGCTGGGTTGTTTTTGTCTTGGGGCAAGTTTGGAAGAGGTGATCTCTCCCTTCCAGCTCTATTTGCTGCTGTTCTGTTTAGCCAGTTAATTGGTTAGGGAGAACTGTATGGTTAAAATTCACCTTTTCTATGCAGTTATTTGTGGATGCACAAAACTAGAGACATCGCAGGTGCAAGCAGTACTTGAAGCTCACTCAAATGTCTAGCCCACACTCAAAGTTAATCACCTGTTAATATTAATGAATGGTACACATGCCACTCACCCAGATCACAAATGTGGCTACAATGAAGAGTCCAGCCTGGCTCTGCATTTTCTGTGAGCGAATGTTTCCTAGGGCAGTCAAGTTTGCTTTGAAAACCCTTTCAAAATAAAATCCTGCTTTGATTTTCCTGTTTGGTTGAGAAATGTAATGCACTGTCCTCTTGAGCAATGTATTGCTCACTGTGGGTGATAGGTGCTTATGTACAGTGGCACAGTTTTATTAACGATGGGTTTCCTCTCTTTCCACTTGCCTTTCCAGAAATGGAATGTCAGTCAGACAAAGATTCGCATAATTTCAACAATAATATTCATACTGTTTGGCTGCGTGCTGTTTGTTGCTCTTCCTGCAGTTATATTCAAGCACATAGAAGGCTGGAGCACACTAGATGCAATTTACTTTGTGGTTATCACTTTAACTACCATTGGATTTGGTGACTATGTTGCAGGTAAGATTCTCATAACTCTTTATCTTATAACGTTTTGCACAGTGATGTATGTTCTGCATTTTTGTATTATTTTGGGACAGACAAATCTTTGTGGTGCCTCTCTCCCAATTTTACCCTTTATCATTCTTGTGTCAGTGCCTGTGAGAGGGGCCTGCCCTTATCTTGGATCATGTGGCAGGCTAGAGACTGGAGGTGGGACAGTGAAGTGCATGATACCCATCTCTGCATACTCCATTTTTTTGATTCTCCTGTACCGTTAAAAGATGCTTTACTTAATTTTTAGGTAGATTTTTTGTTTTTACAGATTGAGTGAAGTGCAAAGATTAATATAGTATTTTTAATATTAATACAGTCTGCTGAATATATTTTTTCAGCTGGAGTTGCTTAAAATGTCTAACCCTGTGAAGTTATATGACATAGTTTTTGTGTACATCTCTTACTTTCTAAGTGTATTCCAGAGTTCTGTTTCTGCCATTGAGATGTCTCTATTGCTGTCAAATTCTGCTTCAGTGCTTGCTTTTGTTTGCTATGTATGCATTTGTCCATGTGTGTTTTGTAATGCAAGGAGAAGGTTTAGCACAACCCATCTGTGTCCAACATTTATGGTTCTATTAACCCAGATTGAATTGCACGTAACTTTAACAAGCTGAGCTAAAAAAAAAAGCTTTGGCCATTTCTCTGCATCACCTTCTTTCTTGAAAAGGTGTTAGACCACTTCTCAGAATAGGATTGAGTAAGTCTGTTATCTGTCTTGAGGAAGTGTGTTGGTCTGAGTCAGTGATGTGCTGAGGTGAGGATTAGAAAGTCAGAGCTTTGTGCTCAGAGTTCGAGACTTGCTCTCTTCAGCCTGATCTTAATCTTCTCCTGATGTAGCACCATCATCTCTCTCTTTCATGAGATGCCTCTATTCCACACCTGAACTCTGTGTAAGGCAGAGGTAGCTGAGGTTAGCTGAGAAGGTCAGCAGTGCTGGGCTACTGTCAGTGAGCTATCCTGCTGGAAGGAAGCGTTTCTAGCAGACATCCACGTGGTGTGGGTTCCTCCTGTGTCCCATCTGTAGACATGGCTATTGCACGAGTCCAGGTGCACCAAGGTGAGGGTCTTGGATTAGGTAGCTCTTCCTAGTCACTTGCAGGCCTGCCTGAAGTTTTCCTGGATGGCAGGAATGTGACTGGTCTTGTTGCTGACAAAAGTTTTTCAAGTTGGTGAAGTCCCACAGAGACCTCTGAAGTGTTTGAACTGTTTGGCATATTCATAAATGATCTGGGTAAAATGGGGGAAATTTAGTTAGTGTTGAAGATACTAAGTTATGCAAGCTGTTTAATAAACAAAAGCCACATGAGAAGTTGCCAAAGATTCTGATAAATTTTAGAACTGAGTTGTAAAATGGCAAATTAAATTTATTTTGACTTTTACATAGCTTGTTGTGATGTTTCCATATTTCTTTTGAATGCATCTTACTGATTTCTCCCTTTCTTTTTTCCTTTCCCATATTGTTTTTCTCATTTCCGTTTTGTCTTCAGGAATTTGTGAGTCTGGTCAGATTCTAACTAGCACCAAATAAAAAATTCAGGCTGTTTCCAAGCCAAGAGTCTGGGTGTTTTAGACTTTTGTTCCTGAGGGTTGCATGTATGTCAGGGAATACAAATAATGGTGTATAAATGCCTGGTTATATTTACTGTAAAGCATTATGTGAAATGGCCCACTTGGCTCTAACTAGAACACTGAGTACACTCATCACTCTCATTATAAATTTCCATGGATTTTTCTATTTATAGACCACTTGATACCATAATTTGTTCCTACATCGTGCCTGTTTTTTAATTTTGCCAGGAAAAACTTTCTCTTTCTACAGAATGTCCTTGAATTATATTGTTATATACCTTATGTCCTTTTATGGTTCACTTCATATACATTTTATATTGTAAAATTCCAGTGTAAATGCATTATGCCAATGTCATGAATGTTTTCTATTTTCTTTTAGAATAACATGAACAAGACTTGTATTTTTACTGTAATATATTATTGACTTAAAGTTTCAGTGTGTTGGAATTGGATTTGTACTTGAAGAGGTGTAACTCAAGAGAACTGTTAGATGACAGTCTCCATCATAACTGGGAGGTTAACATTGCCACTGGACTGTATTTTGTCAGAGATAAAGTTGACAGTATTACTATCTTTGTGTGGACTAACATACTCAGTTTATGGCTGATGACTCAAAGGATTTTTCAAAAAGGTCCATTTGTTTTCTTGTCATTCCAGTACATGATTGTCTAGCTAAATAAAAATTCTGAAAAACAGGTAAGGTATCCATTGACTATGCTTTGCATTGTGGAAGCTTAGTCATCAGTATGCATAAATATTAAGCTATTTGAAAAAAAACTGACATTGCAAGTTCTCAATAGAGCTGATAAAATTGGTCTTAAGGGCTATAGGCTTCCTTATTAATTTTGAAGAAGTATACCACATCTTTTGCATGCTAACAAATTAGTAAGCTGTCTTTATGATTTTTTGGTTTACTTGGTTTTCTTTTAGGTAAGTCATAACTGCCATGCAGTCAGTAAGTGCCATTGATATTTTTGTGGTAGGCTTCATGTAGAACGCTGTCTCCTTGAAGTTTAAGAAAGTTGAGCGCCATCAACAGAGGCGGAACAAGCTTGTAGATTTAAGGCACGCTATGCTGTATAAGGCTGTAGGAGAGGTTGTCATGATAGAATATGGGTCATGATAGAATATGCTCTAGAACCATCTGAAACTGGTTCTAGAGCATGGTGTTCTTGGTTCTGGTTTGTCATGGTGAGGCATACAGCAGGCAGAATGATGCTTCAGACCACTTAGTGCCTAGATGGCAATACATTTGTAAAAAAACCTCACACTGACATTAATTTATTCCTTTTTCTGATTTTTCCTGGCCAGAAAGGTGCTTCTTAAATAACACTTAAACTGAAAATTACCTTCTTCCACTCAGAGTTATAGTCAAAAGCAGAATGGTGGGCAGTGATCCTCCAATTTGCAATTATAGTGGAGTGAAGTCTTTTGGCAATAAAAATAAAAAAGACAATTCTTGTAGCATATGGGACATTCATGGGATATGTCATGATTATGTGTCAGTTTTGGCTCATAAAGTTCCCTCAAAATCCAAAATTCCTAAATATTTGAAATCTTCCAAATAGTCTCGTAATTTTTTTTTCTGGGAACTTTAGTCCCAGAGGAAAAAACATAAGTTTGCAAGGCTTACGTACAAATGTCATGGTTGTGATAACATGTATACTGGGGTTAAAAGAAACATTTCTTAACAATATCTGTCATTTTTCCCTAACATGGAACTTGCTGCTTTCTGGCACCACTGCAGGTAGGAGTTGAAGGAGGTAATTTAGGAGGTAAAGGAGAGAGTGTTTCTGAATACTTGTACCAAAAGAGAGCTAAGAGAAGAACTTGGTATTCAGGAAAATAATGGTGTTAAATGCTGTAGTGCAGGTTGTCATATTAGAAATTCTTGTAGAGTTCTCCAGAATTTTTCTACAAGTTTCTTCTTGTTTGTACTGGAGACCAAATACTCTGTTCCCAGAAATTAGAATGCCAAAACATCCCCTTCTGTACTCAGAATCTAGGTTGCTATTTGGAGGTTATGGAGATTTCAGCTGCAGTTCCCACCAGGAAGAGAAGCCTTAAGGCAAACATAAAACTGATCACTCAAGGTGCATGCAAGGAGTGAAAAAATATGAGCCCTTGTAGTGCATGCTCAAGAAAATATATAAACAGTATTCCAAAAAACAAACTTATTGTTTCTCTGTCTTGCAAAATGTTTGATTTTTCTGATTTTTGTAGGGGTATAATTTTTTTTATTTTTGTAGGCAAATTAGTATTTTTTTGTAATTTAAGAAAGTTTGGTGTTGTAGCTTTTTCAAAAAAAGGAAGTAAGAAACTGTACGACAGCCAGCGCTGTCTTATGAAAATCAGGACATAGTCAAACATCCCTTTTCTTGTTTTCAAGAGAAGCCATTGAGAGAAGAAAATCCAGCCAATATTGTGAATATTCTGTGAAAGAGAAAACGTGTGTATGTATTTGTATAACATGACAATATACTGTTCATTTGTGCAGATAAATCCTTTAACTGCAGTGCAGATTGGAAGGTATAGTCAAATATTTCTAAGGGAGTTAATCTAGCAGGTTTCAAATCTAAATTAGTTGAGATGTCCAAAATGACTGAATTAAGTAGAGGTCAGAAATATAAATAGCACATCAGCAGTCTGTTTCACAATGGGGCATAATGATGTTATAAAGTTACGCTGCAATCAGTCCAGTTCAACAGGTCACAAAATTATGCAAGTCTCACTTTAAAAATGTATTTTAACTATTTTGGTTTTTTTGAGGAGTGATTTTTGTTGGTTTTTCTCCTGGAGTCTGATTTTTTAGCCTATGGCTTCTGTACTGTTTTGATCTGTAGTTGAATTTGGTGTATGCCTACCGTAATACAGATATCTGGGTCTGCACTGTATTGCTTGGCCTGAGACCCAGTTTGTAGAGTACTGAGATTTTAGCCTCACTTAATGTCACCAAACTGGAACACTTCACCTGGTGGTCATAGCAGCCCAGTTGATCTGCTCTCACTATGTGATATTACTTACCTGGCAGAAAGACCTCTACAGAAAGAAATCGCTGTCATGCCAAGCAAGAGGCGTGTGTCAAGCATCCTGCAAGAGGGCTGTGCACTGTCCCACAGGCTTTGTGACTTTTTTAGCATTTGGAAGTGCTCTTTGCCACTTCAGGACTTCACGTCCATAATAGGGGCTGTCTGGTGTGAACCCGGCAGGCTGCTTTAAGCTCAAGTCAGCATGCAGTGTCTTGCTCAATTTCTGTATAGAACAGCGTGTAAAGAGTGTTTTATAACTGTGCTTTGTATTCTGAAGTAGCTCTCCATTTTCCACTGAGTGGCATGAAGTAACTCATATGGCCTACTTACCTTCTATCTCGCAGACAGTGCAATGCTATCTTGTGCCAAGCATGCTGCTTTTCCACATCTCCACGTAAGTTAGCCTTTCTCTGTCCCTTTTTGCAGTCCTCAGAGGTAATTCCTTTCAAGCTGCAGGGCTGACCCGCCGTATGTCTTTGGAGTGGGACAAATGACACTTCTGGATTAAGCCTGTTGGCTGGGTTTGTCACAATGGGGATGATGGACACCTACTCATTATTCTGCAATTAAAACTGTGTTTGGTTTTAATCACATTTCTATACCCAGAACAATTTGTACTGCTAATAAAAATAATAAAGACATTTCCTGGTTTGAAGGGGCAACTTTTGACAAATCCAGAAATTTGTACTGGTATGGAATTAAGATACTCAATGCCAATAGCACTTTCTGTTCTCTGCTGCTACTTTTAAAGCAAAAATGCAAAGAAAACCGGACAACATTACAGAAATAATTGCATGTTTCTGTTTTGAGTCACTTAGCTGTAGAAAGAATGGGGAAGAGTGACAACAATAAAGAAAATTATTTACTTAAAATGTACTAATTTTATGTAAATAAACAAATAAAAAATACATATATTTGAAAGCCTGGTCACTTACCTGAGAACTAGAATCTATCCTAATGCACCCCTGAAATCTCTAATGCCATCTTTCACTAAAACACAGATATTTTCACCTCAGTAAGGAATATGTGTTTGGGCCATAAAACAGCCTATGCCTTCTGAAGTGTTGAAAATCTCAGATAATTTAGAAATTGTGTGGCTGATGTAAAAATGGTGGCAGCAGCAATACAGTAGCCAGTGATGAAGATGGGATGGAAAAACTTTCATAGATTTCAAGGGACTTTGGATCAAATCTCTACCACAAAACATCAACAACATGTGGATGCCCCCTCCCTGGAAGTGTTCAAGGCCAGGCTGGATGAGGCTTTGAGCAACCTGGTCTAGTGGAAGGTGTCCCTGCTGATGGCAGGGGGGTTGGGACTAGATGATCTTTAAGGTCCCTTCCAACGCAAACCATTCTATGATCTCTGCAATAAACTGTAGCTCCTCTTGTTAACAGATTATGGCAGTGAGACTTCTGGTTAAAAAGTAAGCACAACTCCAGTTGGGAGATACATTTCTTCTTTATTGTGATTGTAACCTATTTCAGGTAGAGGTTAAACAAAGTTGGAAAATAATTTTGCCCGTTGGCTTACAAAATTGCTTCTGCCAAACAGACAACAGAATTCAGCTTTTTTCTTTGTAAAAGGCTATATAAAATAATCTGCTTTGCAAAAGAAAGATTATAACATTATCAGGTAAAAATTACACCATGAAAAGACCATGCAAGTGTGTTATGTTGATATGCTTTTTACAATGTTACTGGTAAAATCATTAGATGAATTATCTCATATACTTCAGTACAAATACATTCATACCCATTTATGTGAATTATAAATCAGTAGTCAATGAATTCCATTTTCTTTAAATTCTGTATGGTTGACTTTTGATCACATTTTCCTACCAGTGAAATCCTATTTAATGATATTCCCAGTTAACTGCTTTAGAGCACTCCATGATGTTTAAGCATCACAGGAACCAGTAGTTATTTGGAGACAAACATCCTTAGGTATGTCTCTCTCTCTTTGGTATTCCATTAAATTGAGACATCAGCCGAGGAATCCTTGAAATTCAGAACCTCAACAGCTAATAAAGATTTTAGCTGTTAAGCCTTTTCCTAGAGGGTTTTTGACTGTTCCTTTCTAACTTTAGGAAAGCTGAACTCCTTTGGCCATGGCTAGATGGAGCCATCTCCTGGCCAGACAGTAAAGGAAACTCTTGATTGAATATTAATGTGTCCTAACTCCTGCCCTGGTAATTAACCTTACTGTAAACAAATTAAGTATAAACTGTGAAGGAAATGCTCCCTGCAGACTGACAGAGTTAAGTTCCAGTTTATAAACATAACATACCAAAAACTAGAAACCACCTGAGTGGATGCTTTATATGATACTTTCTTGTGCATTGTAGGAACAGCTGGAGAAGAAGGTGGACTGCCAAATGTAGTTCATTACTAGCTCCTAATAGAGCAAAAGCATGATGGTAATCAAACTTTTTTTTTGAATGACAACAAGTTTTGGGTGAATCATCCCTAAAATCTTCTTTTACTAGATTTACATGAGCTGGATGATAACAAATCACTTCATTTCTGTTATTTCATTTATCTTGGGCTGCGACAAACTCAGCCCTTTGGTGGTTGGCTGTATTCTGTTCCAGACAGAGCCCTGTTTTCTACCTTGCTAGTGAATATGTAGGTGCCAAAGTGTATCCATTTTTGCAATGTGGATCCATCTCTTGGATAGTTGAGTGAACCACTACAGCTCAACAGATGAAAAGGCTTATTGACATGAGAATAAAAAAAATTATATCTATGAGGGCTTCCTTACAAAGATAATAGTCAATAAAGTTATTTGTATGTAATCTGTGATGATTAGATAATACCATCTAGGAAAAAGCATTACTTTTCATGAGAGTTAATCTTGTTAAGTGTAAAGACGTGCTTGATATTTTGGGGCCAATTTTCCTTTGGCTGTTTCTGTAGAGGATGCAGATACATAAAGCAACATATTATGTACCCATACAGACTACTTTAATGTGCCTGAAAAGGTTTCACTGTAGCGTCTCTTCAACTCTGGGCAGATACGCACGTCAAACTTCTACTTGCAACAACCCGAACTAGGAGCCTGATTTTACTTGTTGTAACACAGCTGAATTGCAAGTTTAATGCTTCTGTTTTATTATACTGCAAGAAGTGAAATGTGAGTTATTTTGTGTTGTCAAGAGCTCTGGAGGAACATAATGTTTTTTTGTGTGGAAACAAGGCATCTCTTCTCTGTAGCTGTATTGTACCTGAAAGATCCATTACAGACATCTCTGAAATTTATCCTTTTTTACCTTAATACTAGAAGGAAGGAAGTGACTGGTGCTTATGGCAGTGGGATTCAAAAAAGCTGCCTTCAGCTGATATTTTATCCACTGTTTCTTGAGTATGATCAGTTCAGCTCAAGTTCCTACACCCTGGTTTTCTCCTCTGCAAAATGGAGATGGTAGAGTTTGTCTACCCGACAGGGTCACTTGTTAATACAGGTGCAATTCTGCTTTACTGTGGCTAAAGGAGTCGCATAAGTATTGAGATGTGCTTCAAAGTCCTTGCAAAATCAGATTTCTCGGGGTATGAACATATTACGTATTCCAGAGCAATACTTAAAACTTGGTACAGCATTGTTGTTTGGAGCAGGTGGGAAGTCGTTTCATTCAAGATGTCCTCAATCACCTTTACCTTAAATAATGATATAACAGAAGCTGAATCAGTTTGTCTATGTTAATTTTTTAATTCTTATGAATGATTGGCAATCATTGTCTAGAATTTGCATACTACGAACTGTGTCTTCGAGAGTAGATGAATTTAGATCATTGTTTATTCAGATTCAACAAAATGTTTTGCTATGAATTTTTGCATGGGTAAGAAAATAGAAGAAGTAAGGAATATAACTGTGGGGTTTTTTTGGTTCTTTTGGGGTTTTGTTTTGTTTTTTTTTTTTTTTAAGGAAAAAGAATTAATTTTAAAACAGTTTTGCACCTACAACTATTAAGTCTGCTTTAATTTTAACTGTATTGTTTTTCAGGAGGATCAGATATTGAGTACCTAGATATTTATAAGCCAGTGGTGTGGTTCTGGATCCTTGTTGGACTTGCTTACTTTGCAGCTGTTCTCAGCATGATTGGAGACTGGCTAAGAGTCATATCAAAAAAGACAAAGGAAGAGGTAAGAACATTTTAAAAGGGGAAGAAATACTACTTTTAAAAAACTTTGATTGGAAGGCAGGTGAGTTTATAGCTGCTTTTGCTCTTAGAGTATAGGTCAAAGTTGTTGATATATCACAGCATGTTAGGGATTGGAAGGGACCTCGAAAGATCATCTAGTCCAATTCCCCTGCTGGAGCAGGAACCTAAATGAGATCACATAGAAAGGCGTCCAGGTGGGTTTTGAATGTCTCCAGAGAAGGAGACTCCACAACCTCCCTGGGCAGCCTGTTCCAGTGATATGATGTACATGCAGCTCAAACTGCAGCAAACTTTGTAGCAGTCTAGTCAAACATACAGCAATTTTTACGTGGCTGAATATAAAATTAGATTAAAAGTATTATTAATTTAAGTTTATATGCAAAATTGCACCTGAATTGCAGAAAAAATCTCTCTAAAAGGATAGTAGAATGTAGTCCTTAATTTTCGAGGCAAAAATCATTCTGCTTTGACTGTTTCTGTATGGGCTGCAGGTATGTAAAGAAAAATAGTAAATCATTAAACAGTTATATTCAAGATACTTTTCATCATTTTATAGTGGTAAGAGAATAAATGTTTCATATTATGCAAAGTATTGGAATTAGTTATTTAAATATGCCTGGGTGTATTTTACCATAATATTTTCAGTGGCAGGCCTAGTTATTTGTAGTCAGGTGCATTGCATTCAGTTCAAATATATTTTTACTTGTAAATATGTATTTATCATTCCAGTAATGCTACAATATTTTACTTTAAATCTTGTCATTTAAGAAAATGTCCTGGTTTTGAAAATGTTAGAGGATAAATAAAATTTCCTTTAATTGCAGCTGTCACAGTTCAGGTTTTACTAGAAGTTTGAGAAATAAATTAATTTTGTTTTAAGCAACATATTATTCCCCTCTAATTTAACTTCAGTTCCCCTGCACACATCACTGCATTTGTGTTACTCAAATATAAAAACTCTAATTTCTTTTTGATGGAATCAATATGTAGGTTACTGTGCAGTGGCCTACTACTTAGGTTGTTTTAGATTGTTTTCCTAGCTGCAGGGCATGGCATCAATGCCTAGATGTAATCCTGGAAAGCCTTGAGTTCCCAAAGACCTTGCTATAAAGGGTAGCTTACCCCTATATGCCTTCTCTCAGTACAGACCCTCAGGGTCCCTGCTGCTTTCTGACCGGAGGGCAGCAGTGATGGTGACAGCAGGCAGGACGATGCGAGCTGGGTGCTTGAGCAGGATTAAACCCACTTTGAGGCATGTGGAGTGGGCATCCCTTCTTCATGACCCTTGCTATTTATAGTTAGAGACAGCATTGTCACAGGTCTGTTGTAAGTACACTTTTACCAGGCATTTCATAACCACTCAGCTCTGAAGCAGAGGACAATATTTATTTGATCAGTTTCATTTAAAGGGTATAATCTTTTGCCCCATACTATAAATTTGAAAGGTTGTTTATAACTTTCCATACACAATAAGCTTTACTAGTGTCCTTCACAGATAAGGAGCAGCAGTTATCACACAAGTGTTCCCATTTTCAAGTTCAGCAGTTTGCAGGATCACCATTTTGTTTTCTGGAAAATCACTGACGGCATCTTTAACACTCAACCTACATGACTTTCACAGGCTGCAGGGTAGCAAATAGGTCACTTCAAATGCCATTAACCTGCACGGTTTTTCTTCATTATTTTGAACTTCAGAATTAGGTCAGTCCAGCCCATTTTTTCCTCTGCACTTGGAAGTAAGAGCTGGGCAGCCACATGTGGTGTTTCCCCTGTGCACTCTCCTAGTGTCCAATTGTCCTCAGTTTGGGGCATTTCCTAAACTGCATTTAGTTTCACTGGGTTACTTGTTTCTGGTTTCTTTAAAAAAATGTGGTGTGACTCAGGCACTGTGACTTGATACTATCCAAAAATACCTTGTTCAGGCTTAGCTTTTCTGCATTTCCTCAGATACTGGTGGCACAGTTTAGTTCTTCACACTACTTCCTAAGATTAATCTGGTCTTTAATCTCACTTTTCTCATACTCTTCTCCCTTATCCGGTGTCCTGGGGTGGGAGGGGAAGGGAAGGGAAGGGAGCTGAGGGGGGGTGTGGTGCTGCGAGTGGCTGTGTCCTGTTTGGCTGCCGGCTAGGTTAAACTATCACATCCAGACGGTGAGATCTCTGGATAAGATGCTATCTTGACTATATAATTGTACATAGCACACTGAGGGTTTAATCTTGTTTAGAATGTCTTATTATCCATATTATTATAATGATGATAATATATTAAGAATGTTTTAATTTTATAATATCTCTATTTTATACTGAAGCTATTTCTTTGGAAAGGATTTAAAGAAACATGAATCAAACAAGCTCATGGGTTCCTTTAGGACATTAAATAAATTCCCTGTTTTTATCAAGTAAAACTCCATTTGCCAGGTTATGCAGCACAGTGCTATGCCAGACTCTCTCTTTTCAGGCACCAGGAATGTATGCCCTGTTTCATCTTTCCATTCTTTCTCACTTTTGTAGCTGAAACAAGCATATTCATTTTGTCTACAGAAGGAAAACCTCATTCTTCAAAACCTCATCCAGATTCTCTTGGCTGAGGCAGATATTCAGGGTTTTGCTGGATGCAAGTGTCTCATGCATGTTAAGTTAAAGACAGACCTAATCTAAGTGGTACCATTTGTTCAATTAATCATCTCTGTTGAAACCTCCCCTCACTTCTTAACCCATTTCTCAGGTATGTCTGAGAATTCATAACAAAGAAAATGTTTTAGCAGTTTAAAAATGCTACAGTTTTAAAAATTACAGAGACCAGTTTGAGAACCAAATGATGGCATAACACAAGTTGTGTGCTAATTGGAAAACATGAGAATTTGTTTCTGTATTCTAACCTAATGATATTTTGTAGGAAGAAAGTTGTATAAATATATTGTGTTTTGTTATGAGATTGGCTGTGTTTGAACAGAAGTGTTCTACAAATACTTTACAGGTAGCATTTTATGATAAAAACTGCTGCTCTTAGCTCTTCCTTACTATCTGCCTAGGAAAATTTGAGTGAAGCAGCTGAGGGAGTTTAGTGGAAATGTAGTCATCAAATTTCCTCTGTGCCAGCAGAAAGCAGAGGAGATTATGAATTTCTTGTATTGTCTGTTTTTCCAGTTAAACCTAAAGTTACAGTGGTCTGTTCCAGCTTCTATGGATGCAGATTATAGCAGAGGAACCTATCTGGAGTTTAAATAGTAGAAATGAGTGCAATGGAAAATCCTGGTTTTAAGTATGTTTTTTAACTGTCTTCTGAGGAAACATTCTGTCAGTTCATTGAGAAATAGCTCATTATACCTAAAGGTAGCCTTTGAAACTAGAAACAGTGTTATATACTGAAATCTACAGAGAGGCAGAGATTACCATAAAAATCTAAAGGATTGAAATGAATGCACCCTGAAAACTGAAATAGTTTAATGTGTTTCCTAGGAAATATAAGACACCAAAAACCTTCCTTCACTTACTCATTATGGGTATCAGCATCTATAAGTAAAGATTTTATGCAGGATTTTTAATGAAAAAAATAAAAACCATTAGTAGCCTACCATGTTTTAGAGACAGGAGGGAGCAAATCATTCAGGAGTGATCAGTTGTATTGGTTTCAGTGGTCTAAGACCAAGGGCTGACAACAGCTAACCCTGGTGAATTGTACCAGAGTCCAGGATGAACACAGAAGGGTTACAAGTGTTGAAAAACCTGTCTCTTTATTTCCTTTTAACAACTAAAACTATATATCAGCCAAGGTATTTGATATCTCTCTTGATAGGCAGTCGTAACCCCCTTTTGCCTTTTCCTGTAGTCTAAAATGAAATCTTAGTTTATCCTAGCATATTTAGGATGCATATTGTGAAAGGAAACTTCCATATTCCAGGAAGTGGGCATGCTAGTAATGAATGTCTAATATCTGTAGTTCTGTTCATTTTTTTCTTAACACACTTACATTTTTCTTAAAAACAGTTTACATAAGACTTTGTGGTAAGAATGCATTTTACCACTTCAACAAAATAAAACATCTTTTTTTTTTTCAAGACACTACAAGGAAAGTTTGCCATATGCAAGTGGAACTGAGACAAAAAAAATCTGATCAGATATGCAGTAATCCACAATAATACTGCATTTTGATATTAAAATCCAGATAACCTGAATGTCTGTCAGTTGCTCAGGTGGCTTTTGTCTCCTGAAATACTCTTGAGAGTTTTGAATGCATCAAATGGGGAGGAAAGTGAAAGACAAGTAGACACAGAAGTGGGAGTTTTAGAAGGATAGAACTGCTGCTGGAAGCAGTTTATACAGTAAGATAGATGAAGTGTCAGAAAGTCATTGGAACATGCTGTGTGCTGTTATCTTAAGTATGCAATCTGTCTCTGAAGCTCAGCTTCAGCTGTACTATCTTACCTTAAATTCCCTCCTCTCCATTATTCTCTATACTCTGATTACTCAGAGCACTTTTAAAGTCTTCTGATTTTAGACTCTTTGAAAGGTAAAATTTCAGCAGGATTCTTTTCCTTGTCATGTTTTTCTTTTATTTCAGTATGCAGCAGCTTCTGAATTTCAGCATTTCCAGCAAAAATGCCTTCGCAGCCAAGAATCTTAGTCATTTGGGCTATAAATTTCAATTCCTGTTTTTAAAATTAAGTGCTTATGTTTCTTGGCCTCACAATATTCTCTTTGTGAAGTTGTAGTCCAAACTCCAAGTCAGTGAAGATGGGATTAATCTCCAGTGTAGGTATCAACATCTGACCTAGTCATCTACTGTCTCTTTGTAGTGAGTGTAAGGAAATGAGTGTTTCTAGTATGATCCATTTGAATTTTTTAAGGTGTCCACCATATGAGATGAATTACATCCTCTGTATATCAAGAGTCCGGGTGACTGACTCGTGTTAGACATCAGCTTAGTTGATAAGTGATTTTTCTTGCTGAGTGCCTTTGTTTTGAATTGAACAATATGGA